GGGGGTGCCCCAACCTGCAATCGAAAGCTGAGGCCAAGCAAACACAAAGACAACAATACAAAAACAAACGCAAAGACAAACACAAATACAAATACAAAGACAAACGCATAAAGACAGCAATACAAAAGCACATGTACTTGTACCTGACGACAACATGAATGAAGCACACAGCGTCAACACACACCCATCAATCACTACAATCACTAATTAATTACTTCAACCCATACCCACGCACGTCCGAACCTAGATCTAATTCTCTTTTTTTCCTCCGCTCAAAGAGTTGTCCTTCTTGTTTCTCACTTCTGTTTCCACGCAAACGTGCGCAGTTGGCGTCTTTGACATCCTTGTCTTTTCTCTTAGCTTCGATAGAGCTACATTGTATTTAGGCTTTATAGTTGGTCTAGCGGTTTGGGAGCTCACCGAGGAGGTTGTAGATTGTTTTAAGATCTTTGGGTTTCACTCGTTCAAGGTATACCTACACTCTTCTTCTTCTTTTTTTTTCAAACCATTCCTACGTAATGTCAGTCTTTCTTGTATTCAGTCCTCTCAAAACGGCTGTGGTTATTCTTGTGTGCTTCTCTGTAGCCTAGTCTAACTGATTTGTTGAATGGTTGTTTTGTGTGTGTGTGTGTGTGTGTGTGTGTGTGTGTGTGTGTGTGTGTGTGTGTTGTTTCAAACTACCCTACAAATTGAAATGTAGAGTTTCTCCTTTGTGGTTGTTTGGAGGGCGCCGCTGAAAGATCTTACTTTTTCACTAGTTTTTGGGGTTTTTTTGTCCCGTGTTCTGAGGACGTTGTTGCCCGTATTTGTTGGTTACGTAAGAATGTACAGGCATGGTGCAAACTGTCATGTTTTCTAGAGAAACGAAACAAGTGAAAGGGGAATTGTTTAGTCGGTAATGATGATGATGATGATGATGATGATGATGATGATGATGATGATGATGATGATGATGGTGATGATGGTGATGATGGTGATGATGATGATGGTGATGATGATGATGATGATGATGATGATGATGATGATGGTGATGATGGTAGTGGTGGTGGTGACGGTGACGGTAATAATGGTAATCGTGATGGTGATCATGAGGATGATTATTTGTGTTCGCGATGATGATGTTCTGATGTTGGAAATGACGTGCATATTAGTCTTAGTGTTAAGTTTGTTCAGCGCTTACTCTAGATCCCTGCTAGGCTGTCTTGGGAAAACAGGACATAACCCTCATTTCCCACTCCTCGCATAGAGTTACAAAACATTTTCATCCGCTTCAAGTGATCACATTATTAGTGTGTTTGTTACCCTACGTCTAAGTTATCATATTTTCAAAATCGTGAAGGGTATTTTGCCATTAATCTTTGTAATATAGAATTTTAATTTTCATAGTCAAAGCAGACTAAATTGTGTGCTTACAAGTTATCGCTATCGTCGTTCGCAACCGGTCATTATTTTTTTTTTTTTGGGGGGGGGGGGGGGGGGTTGTTTCTGTCTGGCAGTCTTGCTTTTTCATGCTCTAAAATAATCACATTATGTCGATTTGACTTTCTTTACTTACTTATTCCTCGTTCTAGTTCACTGTTGTTGTTTTGTTTTTTTTGTTTTTGTTTTGTTGTTTTGAACACCAATTGTGACATTCCCAGTGTGTGGGAGGTTTAAAGTACATTATTTTGCATACAAAACGTAAGCCCAGTCAGCTTTAAGCCTATTCCTTGACCATGAGGTCTGATCCGATTATACAAGAGAGCAATATCGTTGTAAGTGTGCTTTTGTAGTCTTTACGCTTTGGCCCTTTATTTACTAGGAATTTAGATTCAAGCTTTTATTTTTGGACTCAAGTCCTGAATGAACCCACACGTACTTTCCAAATCATTGCTTTGTGGGCTGTACGGAAAGACACACACACCACACACACACACACACACACACCACACACATACACACACACACACACACATACACACTCACACACACACACACCAGCTACACACACATACAGACAGAAAAAGGCAGGGAGGGAGAGAGAGAGAGAGAGAGAGAAAGAGAGAGAGAGAGAGAGAGAGAGAGAGGGAGGGAGGGAGGGAGAGAGATCGAGGGATAGACACACGCAGAGAGAGAGAGAGGGAGAGAGAGAAAGGGAGAG